TAGCAGCCCCATTGGAATTCCTGGACTCCACTGGGATATATGAGATGGCTACATCTGCCACCTGGAAACAAGTACCCCATTGGATACAGGCTTCAAGCAGGAGATCAGGGCATCACTGATTGGTGAGACAGATGTTGCTAACCTAGCCAGATGTGCACCCATCCATGCCAAGAGGTGATTAGCTGGGAAGTGACTGGCACAGAGCTGGGTATAAAGGGCAGGGAGTTGGTGAGTGGTAGGCTTGTCTGGTTACAGTGGTTTTGTGTGACTGTTTGAGAGGCTACTGATCTATTAATCATGGTCTCCATAACTACCTTGTCGCAACCCATCACCTTCCCCCTGACTCATCTTTGGGCATGGAAGCCCCCATGGTCTCTCTCCTTTTCCTGCTTTATTTTCTTTTTCCCACCCAATACCCAATCTACCATTAGAGCACTATAGCGCTCTAAAACAAATGTTTAAAAAAACAGACGGCGATCGCCCGCACAGGCAAAAAAGGGCGGGAAATTGCGCTTCCGAAATGGTACAAGAAATTGAAGACCGCTTGGAAGCAGTTTACAGGTAAAACGCTTCAGCCACGTTTCTTGAACGGGACAGAAGCATTTCTGTCTGAAAGTGAAAATATATTCCGGTAGGGAACCGTTACTAAAACGGTTCTGTCTGAAATGTCAGACCAGAAACCGTTAGGGAACCGTTCCTGTACCGGAATATATGGGCTGTCTGAAATTCCCCTGAATTACACTAATCCATCCTACAATTGCCTCCCTTTCTAGAGGGAGAGCAGCATATTTAATAGATGGAGCAGAACAGCGTAGACATGTTACGATACATAGTGCTATCTTATACTCTAGTAAAATGCTTCCTTCAGTTGCATTGCATGTATAACAGTGCTATAAAGCATACTATGACCACAAATATTTATTATTCACAACAATTATCAAATCTATTCTGAGTAGCTGAAAGTAGGAGAAAAGAACTTCGCTGGTAAAAGCAAATTTGGGAGAGAAATTGGGCTGACCAGGAATTTGGAATAATACCTAATAATCAAATGAGGCAACTGTTCCCTGTGATGAGAAAAAGGAGTAGGAAAGAGGGCACTTCCTTCTGGACATTAGAGAACCCTTGTGGGCCGAGGCACTCTGTGTACATATAAGAAAACCTAGACTTGTGATAAGTTGTTGGTTTGGGCAGTAGCACTAAGGAGCCATGTTAACACCCAGGGCTTAACTGTATACTAGGATTATCAGATGCCAGGTAAGGATTGAAGATCCCCCAAATTACAAAAGACGTCCAGATTACAAAGATCATTCCCTTGGAGAAAATGACAGTTTTTGGAGAGTGGACTGTATGGCATTATACCCTGCCCTCCCCTGGCTTTACCCCCTAAATCTCCAGAAATTACCCAACCAGAGCTGGCAACCCTACTGTGTGGTTGTATTTTACTGTACTGAGGATTTAGCTTTCATTTTGCTATTTGATCAATGTTGCACAAGGAATTAATAGAAGCCTTTTAAACTGTTATTCAGTGATTATCATTCTGAACACACACGAAGCAAGACGGATACTGCTTCCTCTGTCAATGCAAATTAAAAATGTAGAAAGATCTCAGTTGACAAAGCTCCCTAAGGACACTCAATGTCAGGAAATTTAAACTAAGCTATTATGTTTTTAATCTGTGAAGCAAAACTGAAGAAATGTTTAAGCAGAGTAGAAGTGTCAGCACAGAATAATTACTGGATGTTTTTTAAAGTAAAACAATCTTGCCCTATCAATTGAAGTCTTCTAACAATAGATTAAAATAGATTTTAGGTATGATCTTCTAAAGGGGGTTGCAAAAGGATAGTCAGTCTGGCACAATTTATTCATTTTGATCTCACTTCACTTCTTGTTCTACTGAGCACAGGCTGCGTATTATTGGCACATATTTTGCTAGTTAGAAGGAAGGTTGGGAGAATCATAGACTTGCCAGTATCTTTGCTTATCCTTTCCCCTTTCAGCATACATCTTTGGGCTGGAAGACAGGCATAGGATTACTATTTACTGAGTGATTAGACTTTTCCTTGTATACAGACTAGAGACATCCAGAGTAGATACACACACTTCTTGAAAATGAAACCTGACCCTTCAAGGAAAGTGCTCTAGAGGATATCTTTGAGGGGGCCATACCCACCCAGGCTGTTTAGTAGTTATAAGACTGCTCACCAAAAACATAGGCCACATAAATGGACCAAGGAGCAGGGCAAGATAGAAAAAGGACATAGGAGAACATGGGCTGGATCTTGTGGAAAACTTCCACTAATGGAGGAGGGGGCATTTCCATGAGTTTTTCAATTTGCTTTGCCTAGACCTTGGGGTCTGCCTGATGCTGTTCCTGGCAGCCCCCATCCAGCTAGGGCTGCCAGCCTCCAGGTGGGGCCTGGGGATCTCCTACTTTTACAACTGATCTCCAGCTGACAGAGATCAGCTCCCCTGGAGAAAATGACTGCTTTGAAGGGTGGACTCTATGTTATTGTGCCATATTGAGGCCCCTCCCCTCCCCTCCCCAAACCCCACCCTCTCCTGGATCCACCCTTAAAGTCTCCAGGTATTTTCCAACTCAGACCTGGGAACCCTATGTCCAGCAGAAGCAGTATTTCAGTTGGAGATCATTTGGGGCCATGGTTGAAAGGGAAACATAAAGAAGCTCTCATGGAAATCCCTTCCATCAGTGGAGATTTACCATGGGAACTATGTCTATGTGCTTATTTAAATATCTCTCCTTATATATAATTGAGTTTGAACATTCTATATGAACATTCTAAATTTCACCTCCTTAGTGTTAGGCCGGAAAAACTGCCGCTCAGAATACACTGGCAGCTTTGTGCAGTCCCGCCCAGCGTTCCAAGGTCATTTGCATATGGAAGCTGATTGGACCTTACTCCATTCCATACCTCAAACTCACCCCCCCCGCAAGGCAGTTGGAATTTTCAGTTGGGAGAGGAGAATGATGTCAGCTGCTCCCTAGGCAGAGGCTGTGGGGGGGGGGTTGTAAAACTTAAGAC